ATTTAGACAATGAAAAATGCATTACGTGAATGAACGATGTCGAGATAACCAATTCCAACTGAGTTTCTCCTTTGCTTCACCAAAAGATTTAGTTCTTCATGAGTTTCTTTTGCCAAAAAGAGATGAAAGAATGATGAGGCCTGAAGAATGATGATGAATTGTCAGTTTTGGAATGTTTTTGGGGTCTTTTTTTAGGCTTCTCATTGCCCAAACATAAAAAACCTAAGTTTACATGGCGTGGCGCCTAGACACCATGGTAGCAGTGCTTAGGCGCCGAAAATCTACTCCTGTTGGGTCTCTTCAGCGCTTGGGCACTGAAATGCTATTTCCTCTTCAGTATTTTCGTCATAACTTCCTCTCCCGATATCCGATTAAGGTGATTCAAGATGCGTTGGAAAGCTAACTCAAAGGGATACAACTTTGCTTCAGAAACCATCTTCAAATTCGATTTGATTATGTCAAAAACGGGTCTCAATAGGGGGCTGAAAACCGGTGCATAACTTTTTAGTTTGAAAGTTGATATGTGATAACGTCTTGACTATATTTCATCCCTTTAACTCCTTTCTTCTCGAATCTTCATCACAAGGTTAGAAACAAGTTAAAGTATTACACTTTAGTCCCTGAACTTTTTTTTTCCTCCATTTTGGTCATTTTTTACTTATTTCACGACATTCATCACTTCATCCTGTAAAACATGAATTACATAGAATTAAGCTGTATTCCAACATTTTAATCAGTAATTGATCTTGTTTTGACTGTCAAATAAGTATGTAAAAACACACTTATTAAACTCCCCCAAACTTGAACTATTGTTTGTCCTCAAACAACAATATAACTCAATTTTACAAACAACACGATTTAACAATATGCTGTGTCTCAGGTTTGAAATATAGTAATTAGACAAATGAACAATTACAACAGTACAAAAAGTAAATCAGTCTATACCTGTTACATGCATAACCTAACTTGTGTGTGTGAAAACTCATGTCAACATACCAAGATTGTAATTGGTTCAACACCTGACCCATAGTTGTCAAATATATCATTTCCTCGCTCGAGAGATACATACACCCCCAAACTTATGATTTTCACTCTTTTTCCCAGGGTGTATCCTAGGTTCAACTTTTAAATTCTATTCCTTACCATCTCGTAGTTTGGATAGACTTACTTTTACAAGTTCACACTTCAACAAATCGAGATTCTCCTATATTATCGATTGCTTCTACCATTGAGACTAGACTAAGTTACTTGCTTCTCATCAAAGGTAAAGTTCTGTCAACGGGATGC